GTTTGAAAAGCGAATTTCAATACAATCATTTTAAACATTTAAGATATTTTGACGATTCACGCTAAAACAGCCGGTTTTCAAACTATCCCTACTTTGATTTTGGGGGTGCCGAGTAAACGCTCATATAGGCTCAATATATATAGGTATACCATTTATTAACAAATAAAAAGTCATATGACTTTATATTAATATATTTACCATAGATAAATGATGCTTTATCAAATAAAAGAACTTTATTAGCCTATCATATAATAATAAATAGGTATAATAAATAAATATGTATAATATTGATAATACAAAATCATCTTATCTAATAAAGTACGATTTTTCTTATATTTAACCATCGTAATTAAAAGTACGTAGCAGTATGTATGCGACTTGAACGAAAAACAAAAAGGTATGTATGTGATGATGAAAACAATTTTTATAATCAGGAGTGCCTAGGTATATTCAAATTAAATGAACTTTATTCGTCGCATAATTATTGCAATATAACGTTGGCCTTGTTGCTGTATCTCCTAAAAAATAAAGATAAACATAGTTTGACTTTTTTTGTTTTTATATTGAATTTAATTATAGAACCAATAAATTATCAGTAGGATAAAGTGATATAATTGGAAATAAGGGTTATTGGAAACAATATTAATTTCTTATCAATAAGTGTTGACTGATGGTAAGTGATGACATAATATACTCAATCATATAAAACCATAGGCATAATATTGTAAGAAATAAACAATAGATGATGGCTATTGATAACATAAATATTTAATACTATATTATACAACAAGGAAGTTTATTCTAAAACAGCAAAATCATTTTCCAATTTACAGTTCTATAATAACACGAACTTAACACGTAACACTAGAACGTCAGACTTAGAGAAGATATCATTACACATTTATRTAGTAATATAATTATGTGGTGTAAATAAAAGTAAAGGCTCAGGGCGAATGAAAATAAACAAATATTTTTATATTTTATCAATAGGAATAACCCCAGGAGCATTTATTCAAAATATTTGTGGTTAGAACTGATTATATTTTGATATTACTAAATTACAGTTAATTRATTAATTTCAAACTGACATAAATATAAAATATATACAATATAAAATTAAATAACACTTAATCTTAAAACAACAAAACATTCTCTTGAACTTAATTGTAGTTATTGTAATATGAGAAAATTTGAGTGGTATAGAATTATTACTATAACCACAAATATTTTCAAATCCTCCAAGAGTCATTAATACGGATAAATTACAAACGTATTTATTTATWTTTCATTTACTTCAAAAATATGATCATATTTTTATGAGGAAAATTTAAATAGATATTTTTAAGTAAGTATAAATTTAAGTTACAATTACAAAATTGTCATCACTTAGACACTTAGTCATATAATTACATCATCATACAGAAATCACCAATAACTGTTGAGATATTGATGATTCAATGATTGTTTAAATATTGTTTCCAATTATTAGCCAAATTGACCCTACTTATTGCGTATTTTAATTAGTTCTAACATAATATTTTAGGTGTCAAATGTATGTAATATAACTAGTTTATTTATATAGTTACTATTTATTTTGAAAATTAGTGGAAATGTTTTTAATGGATCCGTAATAATAGTAATTAGCTCCAAGTACCTACCTGAATTTTCTTTGTTTTTATTGTTATAAAATCATTGAAACATTATTTTCTACATACGCAGTGAAAAATATATAAACGAATAGTAATAAATGGTTAAAAATATAAACTATTATTTTATCGAACAATAATATTTTAAATAAATAATAATAATCACATGAAACATTAACAAAAACTTACCTTAGAAATCGTTAAAATCTTAATTATCAAAAAAATAGAAGCAATGAATATAACATGTATATAATACCTATATTGTTTTTTTTGGTAGGTATATTATTTCCCTGGTGTAGTTATAAAATTGCTTAGGTATTTTATATACCATTATATGATATGATACGGATTAGTACCAGTACCAAAAAATCTAGAGGTTGCTATATTATCATCACAATACGTTTTTTATGATATATTTATYAGTTTATTACGTATGTCGTATTTTATCAAATCATTTGCACAGTGTACAAAGTAAATGATTATGCTTCATGGCTTTGAAACTGCAGCGATCACGAATAACGCTAAGATTGAATAGGTATGACAGTAACTACTCGATAAATGAGTTAGTGATTACCGTATTCGAAAATAATAATAATTTTTTTTAATTTCTGTGAGCTATGTTGACAGAATAAAAAATACTATTTAGTTTTTTTTTTTTTTGTATTTTTAATTTTATATTTTAATAATATTCTTATTACTCTAATTAATTTTATTATTATTCCATGAGCTATATTACCATATTAATAATTTATTTGCATTTGTATTTTATATTTTGTTTAATATTTATATCAGTGAATGTTGTAATGGTATATCATGATAGTAATGAGTAATGACGTATTATTGAATTATTTTTATATATTAATTTAATACTTGTTAAATATTTTTATTTTTTGTCCGGATGGAGGACATCCATAGTATCGTGGGAGGAAGGCACGATGGGAAACGTCCTAGATTCATTTAAATGTATTTAAATAAAATGTATTTTTAAATACAACAAAGATGTGTGAGAGTTAACCCTGAGTGATACTGAATTGAAGATTGGGATGGTGGTTCACACTTTTTTAGTGTTAACCAGTCCACAATAATTACAAATTGCTACTCGATGCCACTGATTACCTATGTAGCATTTTCATTATTCCATTTTCACAGTCAATATTATAAAATATTAAAATACAATACGATAAATAATAAATGTACACCAATCTAATCTACCAACTGTGCCGTTCCAATATTTTGCATTAACAAATACCCCTTTGGCTATAAAAAAAAATAATAATACATTATATTATAATGTAGGTATATCTTAGTTTGGTAATCCTCATACATTTCTRTAATCAACTATACATGACTAAGAACCAACTTGCAATATAAATATAAATTATAATACTTGAGTTATTGTTAAAATTTCGATTACAGTCGAATGCAAGGAATACAATATATAATTCCCAATTTGAGGAAAAATTAAATAGTAACCTACGTCCTAAGACACAACAAAAATTATAATATACCCAATACATTGTGCTGCCTTATCAGGTAAATTATGTTGGTAAAAAAATTACAAATATGAATCATAATTTATTAATACCAAATGTAGATAATTATAACGATATCGCCCTAAGACGGCTATTAAAACTTAAAAGGCACCGGTCGACAGTCTCTATTCCAAAGTCACGTCGCTGACAATGCCGGTCAATATTACGACGAAATAGAGAAACAGTTACCTCATTAGTGACAAGTGTTTATTAACTATTATTTTCAATAAAATGTCATTAATTATACAGTTCACTGTTTTATATCTTCAATTTAAGACTAAAGCTGAGATAATGGTTCAATAAGCACCTTCGAACATGGCTGAAATTGTTGGTTTGTGAAACAATTTAGTTATTATTTTGTTAAATTTACATAAACAAAATATGTATAATATCATAAGTATATTAAAACAGATTATTATAAGTACCTATAAACAGTGGATGATATTTTATCAAAAAYAGAATTGATATTTAAAGATCTAAATATTACCAAATTACTTTCTCTACTACTTTCACTACTAATTTAATTTCAACCATATTGTCTGTAATGGTGTTAAAAAACATCGGTTAGGTTCAGTTTTATTCAACTGTCAAATTAATTTCTTTACTTAAATCACTTACTAATCTAATGTTTAATCTTTAAATTTGGGAATTTACTTGAATTAGTCATTTTTTTATATGTCATTCGTAGTTTAGGGATACAAATAGCAAGGAATATACAGTGAGCTCCTTTTAAAGTGATAAAATTGTGTCTATCATCATTATCATGGTTAGTTATTCGATCGACTTAAAACATATTTTAAATACTGTTGAAAAGAAAAAATGAATTAATTAGAGATTAATATAAGAAAAGCAGTATATAGAAGTAGACGTAAAGTTCTTCCTGTGTTGCCAAATAATATAATTGAAGCATACATGGCTTTAAATACATCTGAAAMTGAAACCTCAAATAAAGAACCATTTATTTTAATAAATTATCAAGAAAAAAATATGATTTCGCATTTCTCGTGATCTTTTCTGGATAACGCTAAATGATACTCAAATATTATAATCATCGCAAACTTAATTTTAAATTAATCTAAACTACTCTGGGCAAAACGGGAAACATATAAAAACAAATTTAAGGCTAAACGGGGATAAGGATAAGCTCGATCTTCCTAAGTGTGCGTGTGAACACATCGAGTTGGTCGTTATCGAATCACTCGTGGTTATTTTTTTAATCACCAAAAAGTTGCTTTTTCCTAGATTTGCCATGAGTCTTACTAGGCCACTAATCTCTACTATTATAAGTTGTAAGCTTCAGTTATAAGAGTTTAAACTTAAAACTACTGATATTAATACCAGCTATTTGTAAATAGGTACTTTTACTTATCTGATATTTTTTTATACATTTATAATGAAATTCAATGAACCAATTAGTATTAGGTACTTAAATAAATGAAATATCTAAATAATGTAGTAACCGAAAAATTCTATATATCAATAAATATAGAAAAAGGATTCCTTGCAAGGTTCTTCTTCAAATACTATTATTTTAAACCTCGTTTCTAAGGCCTGGTGTACACAAATGTAGTTATGGGTTTATAACGTTATGTTTAACTACAACATAAAAAAAAATATGCTCCATTGAGTGGTCAATGGAAATATTGCAACTAAAAAAACGTCACTTGCAAAAAAAAAATGATGATAAAAAAAATATACATATAATTATAATTGTACACTTCATATTCACTTTGATTAAAATTCACACATACATATATATATATATGAAACAATTATTGTTAAAAAAAATAAATCAACATTGTATTTTTTTTTTTTTTTTTTTTTGATTATTTCATCGTACAACATAAAATATAATATTACCACAGTTAAAACTTAATACATATTATAATTTACTTAAGTGTTTTTAAGTTCTCCATTAGCTTCTAAAAATTACGAAAACAGCTTTTAAAAAAATGTAATTTAACTATAAAGGCACTTACAAATAAAAAAATAAAAATGAACAGCTTATAAAACACAAGATTAGGGCAAACGAAATGGAATGTTATAAATAATAAAAACTATCACTGGTATTTTTTTTTCAATGATATTATACGTTTGAATGTTACCAAATCATCGATGTCACATACAAACATTTATTTGACACTTTCGTTTTAAAGTTGGATTGTCGAGATAGAAATTCGTATTACCTTAATAGCGAAACGGAGTCCACGTTCCAGAGTGTTCATCTCGTCTATAGTATAACGGTCGATTATCCCTGAACACTGTAACTGCCGGAAACGGATGATCTTGAACGTATTTTAAGGAGGCTCTTATCTAAAATAAAACAATTATAAAAATGTGAAAACTGTACTTAAATTTATTATTTTCAGCTACACAAATCAYGAGTAATACTTATACGAAAGTTGTAACTTGTATTAAAGGAATAAAATGTATAACCAGACACCGGAATAATACATCGTACCATTGTTTTTTCAACAATTCACAATTTAAATGTCTACAGCTAGAATAATAATCACCTATATTAGATTCTGAGCATAGCGAATGAATATAGTTACAATGATGTGAAATACTTTTGTCAATGAGTGTTCGACCAAAAGACAAAATAAAACTATTTTTATTTACCACGAATATTTTAATATTTTAGTGTTTTATTAAATAGTATACATTTAGAATTATACTACTATTTATAGTAGTATTAAGTTACAATTATTTGATTATTATTACTACGCTGCAACACGGAGGATAYGGTTTAAAACTATTAACATATTATAATGTATTGAAGGTGTTATTTTATGCTTACAGCCATGACTGTGTGCGGTGGTTCAACGTCGGGCGTAGTCGACAAAGCTTGTAGGATGAATTCGTCGGACTGCTGGAGCCACAAGTCAACACTGCGCATAGGTTCGTAGTTGAACGGTCCAATTCTCAATAGACCCAAGCTGCAGTCATACACGTCTAACACCTATTAATGTGTAAATAAAACATTAAAGTTATACCTATATGATTATAACTATAGGAGAATGAAATTTAAAACATTTTTAATTTTTATCAATAAAAATAGTAACGAGATTTTAAAAAAATTTAAAAAAAAGTTGTGTTGTAACTTATAATGACTTCAAATTATGTAAAATATATAATATTCAGTATGTTTATATTTTCAAAAACATAAATTTAACGAAAAGAATAACTTCAAGTTATAATACATAATATTATACATTGTATTATATTATGTTAATATATATGTACCGGTTGCAGGCCTGTGAACAGCCGGGCTAGTCTTAGAGGTTGTTCGGGACCTTTGTCTGGAAAGTTGGCTGGAAACACTTCGCCGCTCTTGACCATAACTCCTGTATAAAAGACGCGGACAAAGAATTTACATTAAAATCGTATTTAAAGAAAAATATATTATTTAAAAATATAAAAATATTACCCGCTCCGTAAAGCAGCGGCCAGTGGACGTTGTTCCGCATAATGGTGTTGAGTTCTCCGACACACGCGAGTACAAGTTCGATTTCGGATTGATGTTTGTGAACAGCAACTGTCATATATAAACACACGAGAACGATATATAATAATATTATAGTAATGTATTACTTATATTTATACCGACTTCTCGGCTGGAAAATAACATTTAAGACATTTACCCATCAGACTATAAAACACTTGTTCGCCATAACGCAACACGTGAGTGAATCCGCCAATCAGAGACATTTCCAGTCGACCGTCAGGGAAGCCCATGGACAGTTCTTGGATCCTGTGTACCATGTTAACCACACATTCCTCGGTACATGAACCGTCAAGATGAGCAAATCCCACAGCACCGGAACCTAAACATAATATGTGTAAACATTCCCGAAAAAACTGTCAATTATAAATTATAATTCAGGCATGACAAACTCAAAGTATTATCACGATACCTAAATAGTTTTTAATTTATGGGCGTGCAAGAAAAAATAACGATATTTTAACAAATTATGTCGTGTATATACAATGCTTTATTATTTATTACATATTTATTAAAAATATTATTTGATTGTTCTTAAAAAAGTATATCTTTACTTACATAAATATTATTTAAATTTTAAATGATTATTTTAACATTTTTTTATTATTATTTCTAAGATGGAGATGAAATATAAATTAGTTAGAAGCCACGATTTTAAAATGACTGTGTTATACTATGCAAATACATCATACACATGTTATTGAAGAAGTTCCCAAACTAAGGTACGCGTATCACTAATGGTAACCAAAAAGGCTAGACTAAGCAATAGACCACACTATAGTTAGGAAAATAATATTTATTTATTGATGTTTTGTGGTGGATATTATATTTTTAATAAATTATTACTATTACCGTTGTATGTATTGTTATTTTAAATATTTTTTGRGCACCTGAGAATTGTYCAAAATTCACCTTTTCTTTAAAAGGTGTACGATAATAATTGGGCCACTAAAATATTACATGTATAATAGGTTATTATATTGGTAATCATTTAATATAATTTTTTAATTTAATAATATTATATAAATTGCTACAACACCTAAAACTCCAGCGCACATAAAACTTTGATATCTTATGATAATATAGAATTGTTATCTAATGAAATGTATAAAAATAGTCAAAAGCTTAGCTAACGGTGATAATTAGGGCTGGGATTTCGATGCACTTAGCATTGTTTTTCAAAGCTTACTGTGCAATGCTCATCTTGTCACAAATTTGTTTTATGTACATTTGAATAAGAATAAGAAAGTTTATTTTGCATTTTTTGGCATTTTTTAGTTTTTAGGTCATTTTCTTAATTTTTTAGGGCATTTTAGAGTTTTTGGAGCATTTTTTGAGTTTTTGGAAACCAAGTGCATGAATTTGAAATTTTATTTTAAGATTTTTACACCAACATGGTTTTTAAATAAATATAACAGATTATAAGTAGGTACTCGTAATTCGTATTATATTATCGGTTTGTCGCCATWATCGGAGTATTATCGAGTAACCTCTACCCGCATTTCCTGTTAAATAATCTTAAATCGGTAAAATCGACGTCCGATGATATCGTTCGACGTTCAGTACGAGTTTTGTCGTGGTTAACACCGTTTTATTACTTTACTTTATTACTTTATTAAAAATAAAAAAAAATTTTAGTTCATAAAAGCAATTTTTTAAGGGCGTTTTCGGGGTTTTTTAGGGCATTATTTAGAGTTTTTAGGTCATAAAAGCATTTTTTTTAGGACATTTTTCGGGGGTTTTTAGGGCATTAAAATCCCAGCCCTAGTGATAATGAATCACAGCGATGTAATAAATTTTTGTATTAGAAAAAAATGATTTGTAGTATGAATTGTATTTGTCAGACAAWAAATAATAATTGATTAATAAACGTTATATTATATTCCTAATAATAATATATTTGTTTGCTATATTTTTATGGCTCAATCTCAGGATACACTTAAAAAATAGAGATTTAATATGTGGCCCAATTTCCGGGTAATAAATTGTGAACAAATATTTTATACGAAGCAGGTAGTTAAAATGTGGCCCGATTCACGGGCGCCCAATAAAATGAATCGGCGTTAGAAAATAATCGGTTTGGGACTTTCACATCATATCCATATAGGTGCCCTAATTACCCTGCCCTACGAATTCATATAAACATACGACGTAACAATAGGTAATTTAAAATAGTATGTAATATAGGTAAAAAATATAAGCACCTACACATACCACACGCATATATTTCCAAAACGTATATTAATTGTACCCGAAAATGCAAAAAATATAAAAATTATTTGACTTTTTGAAAGTAACAAGAATTGCTTTCAAAACCATTTTGAACGTATTTTATATACGTATCTTAGAAACAGTGCTCGTGCTTGTGAAGGTGTCAACCAAATATTGTTTTTTTTTTTTTAACTAATAAGTTAAATATATAATTAAAAATATACCACGCATCAGACTTGAAATTATGAAAAATCACATTCTGGAAATCACCAAATTATTTGGCAATAAAAAAATTTTTAATTAATATTTGGGATTTGTTGGCCGTTGAAACTAAAGAGTTCTAGGTTTGACTCGTCATTATAGACTTATAATACCTATTTTATAAATTACGTAGTGCTCTTAAAAAACCTACCAATGGATACGATACAAACATTAACGCATGAAAAATTAGATAGATAACATCMATTTTTTGATACGCAGTCCTCGCACAAATAATTCTTTACTTCGCCAATAGCATATCTAGTTCTTCATTTCTTATTGGCTGGCATTACCTACCAATGTTTATTTCGTACAAGAACGTTTATTTGGTTCAATAATTTAAATGTAACACTTCTCTATGGCAAAAAAACCGTGTAAAAATTAAAAAATTAAATTCTTAATTTATTAGTTATAATATAGCATAGTACATAGAATAAATTAATTGTTGTTATTTAATATTATATTGAACTACCTAAATGCCTAATAAATTATAAAATAAATATAATTCATAATAATTATCGTTAACACAAAAAAATCAACTAATCAGAAGTGTAGAACTACGACAAAGGCCGGAGGTGAAGAAGATGCGCAAAACTAGTACAACTGTGATGATAACTATTTAATTAGTCATGGATTAACGCACGTTATAGGTACGCCATGTATTATCTATTAATACAAAATAAACTTACCGGTATGCCGGAGTACAAGAATAATGCAAGTGGTAACGTCATCAGAACCAATGATCGACACGTTTTCTATCAAACATTAAATAAATTATTATATTATTACGTCAAAAATCATAAATCTTAATCAATATCATTAAGAAGGTACTACTGTGTTTTCATTAATGCGATCAGTGGTGGTTTAAACTTTTCTAAGTGAAGTTGGGGGGAGGGGTTCACATGTTATACTTATAATCCAAATAATATTAAATAATCAAATATATATACTGTATATTTGGTGGTTTACATAATAGTATATAGTTTATTATTAATTAGGTACTAACAATAAATTTTACAATTATATTTTTAAGACATGAATGTCAGCACCTTATATATAATGTTTATACATATTATAAAAGTATTTAATTTTAATTTCAAATGCACGCAAATATTTTAAGGTAGAATTGTGTATATCAGAAAAACAAATCGGTAACCATTCTAAGCATCTAAGCGGTCGATATAGCTGCTATATTATAGCATTACTCAACAAAACATATTATAATATGTAAAAACATATGACTTTTAAATTCATAACATAAGATTCAAGAGATAAGGAGAATTTTTACATTTCCATATGTACAGAAATGCTCTCGACGTAATATCACGCTAATTTTAATTTTTCTGCCACCCAAAGAATGATAATCGAAGTCGGAAAAACTAATTATGTGAAGTAATTGTATGAAGCAGGTAATCAATGCATAAGGTATGTTACGTTACGTATGAACGTAAAGCTATATAAATTATTAAGTATCGAAGTTATTTTGTTGCACACACACAATAATGTATATTTACGAGGATCTCACCTTTCATCTCTATATATTTCAAGAGAGCCCCGGACAGTGAAGTCGTTAAAAAACTCGGAACCAATATAATTACAATAAATTTCCATTATTAATACGCCATATTACTAATACGCCGCCATCATTACATTATTATATAATACAGATGATATTATCTCAAATATTAGAACAAATAAATATAATACAAATGTTTAACCCTCCCCCTATCTCTCGACCACGCGTGGATACCACATTATTTTATAATAATACAAGTATACGAACTGTCATGTGGTACGGTCACGGCCATCTCTCGTTGACATACGTAAAGAAGCCCTATGGGCCCGACGACTTTTGTGGAGATGGTGAGCAGTTGTGATGCGGAATCTCGGAGTACAGGGTGGTTGAGATACAGCGTCCTCGTGTCCGGCGGTGGTTCGTCTTGAACCACGCCTCGCACCAGTAACACCATCCTGCAAAAACCGAAAAAATTAATTAAAATAATTTTAAAGACCTTTGTTAATTAGTTTCAGAACTCAGTAGTCACTACAAGTCTTAGTAGCAATAACGTAATTTAAGTCTATACAATATGTAAATACATAAATAATAATACAGTAAAAATGGTAATCGGTGAACACAAATTGTATCCTAATATTTAGCATACCTACCAATAGTTTATATTCAGTGTTTTTTAATAAAATAATAACTAATATACATATCATACAAAATTGAATTTTTGAATGATTTAAAATAAAAGGGTATAATTGGATAGTAAATCCAAAATAATATAAAATTATTAACACACGCTGTATTGCTGTCTTACACGGTTATGGCCATTTATATCGATTTCCATATCACCTCAGATTGCCAAGTTATTTAAATCTATCATCTATTACAATTTGGGACCCAAATTAAATCATATTCTTATTCCTCAACAACGTGTTTATCGTTCAGGGAGGAGTACTATTACCGGCTGTGTATCTTTCACTTCCTTTACACAGCCTTAACAAAGGCTCTCAAGTTGACGTAATCTTTACCGGTTTTTCCAAAGCTTTCGACACTGTTCCTATGTGGAACCTTCTTATTAAAGATCTCGATYGTATTGGTATTGGTAACCCCTTCAGTCCTTGTTCCGTTTATACCTATCTAACCGTAAACAATTTATTAAGTTAAATGGTGTTTCCTCCAACTTGGTTGATGTCACTACTGGAGTACCTCAGGGTGGCATTTGAGTCCTCTGTTATTTTGCCAGATATCTCAAAAAATCTAATTTTCTTCTCTATGCCGGTGACATAAAAATATTCTATAAAATCGATACCCATACTGACTGTCAAATTCTATTAGATGAACTTAATCAATTTAACGTACTGGGTATCCAATTTAGGTCTTTATCTTAATGTTAGCAAGTGTAGTGTTATCTCTTTTTCTATTTCTAGATCTAGAACCCCTTTACTCTTCCCCTGCAACGTATACTTAATAACTCATAGTTACAACGTGTATACATTATTAAGGATCTTGGTATTTATTACTCATCACTTTCTATTTTAACTATAACAATGATATGATAGCGGGTTGTGCTCTTAAGGTTCTAGGTTTTATTAAAAGTAATATAAAGCTCTTCTCGTCATTAAACTGCCTTCGCTCATTGTATTTAGCTCTTGCTCGACCCATACTCGAGTATGGGGTTATAGTCTGGTACCCTCGCCTTGCTGAGGATCAGTTACGTCTTGAACGTGATCAACGTAAATTTTTATAGAATGCTKCTTTTATTCTTAAATTAACTTCACCGAATCATAACTATTCTGATATTAGCCGTGTTCTAAATATACCTTCTTTGTCTTCACACCGTAATTATATTGATTCTCAGTTTATTTATGCAATTTTCAACAACTATATAGATGCACGTGGCCTTTTATCTCAAATTGTATTTAAAGTTACTTATCACAATATTCGTAATTACATTCCTTTTCATATTCCCACTCATTTACTTCCTTCAACAAAACCACACCATGAACAGAATACTTCGGTCTGCCAATTTAGTTTTGATCTTCACCTCATTTTGATATTACATTACCTACCTAGTTATATTACTAGTGATAAAATATTATTGTTATAATATTATATTCATATTTATCTTTAACTCTTTTTATAAAAGCCGGTTGGCGTATACACATAAAATAAATAAAAATAAAATTACTAAAAATAAAAATATCAATAAAAGCCTACAAGGCCAGGGGTCCTAGATGATAATCTTATCTTTAAATTTTTATTTTAAAATTAATTTTATAGATGTATTCACTCTCATATCAAAATTAGCAGCACACTATTAAAACTAATAACTGACAATTTGGTATATCATACGTGTGTAAGACGGAAAAAACACATGAAGGTGTAACGTCCTCTTAGCTAGATATTTGGGTAGGCGGAAAAAATGACCAMGGAAAAAAAACCCACTAAAATAAAAGTGTGTTTTATATTATTTTGTTGATTAGCTCAAATACCTATCATAATACAATCACATAGTTATTTTATTTTGGGATAAAACAGTACATAATATTCAAATTATAAATATAATAATTAACAAATGTGTAATAAAACATAATTGGGTGTATTGTGATTCCATTCCCCTTGAATAAAACCATTGAAATATAAGATAAAACTTGAACAAATAATAAACACTCATATTATATTCCAAACTTATATTTATATTATATTTATATAATTATATAATTTCCCAAAGTGCCTTCGCTGGTTGGTTCTTTCCTCAAGATACTACATATATAATAATTTAAAAAAAACATAATTTATGCTTATTATTGTACTTTTTTTTATTTACAGATTGTATAAACTAGATTAAAAATAAAAAAATATTATATAATAATTATATTAAATATAGATGTATTAACATTTATTTTTAATTTTAATTTTTTCGAAGGGCTTTTTGTCTGTGGGTTTTTTCCACGGGCTCTTTTTCCTTGGTAATTTCTTTTCCATGGGTATTTTTCCGCGATTCAGATATTTGATATAATATGTATTAGTAACAATAATAGAGGTAATTTAGAAATTGTCAAAATTCAAAATTAAAATAAATTAAACTTAAATAATTGTTAATAATAATAGTCAAATTCAATACCTATGAAACCGTATGGAATATTTGATTTTAATATATTTGTATTATGATTTTTTTCGGTGTTATTTTATTAGATTATTTTACATTTTACACTATATAAAATTTAAATGGGTTATTTCTCTTTTTTTCTCATTGCAAGTTTTGTTTTTTTGATTCCTTAACATTTTTTAATGCATAATCAACTTTAAGTTATCTTATTCAGCGGCTTAATATAAATCACAAGCTATTACCGTTCCCAACATTTGGAAAAAAGTGTACTAGTAATTTGGGAACTAACTTTAATTTAGAATTAAGTTAAGCTACGTTATTCAAACGTAAAAAAACATTAAAAATGTACATAGAAGACAAATATTCACATTTGTGTCACACCAAATAACATATTATTTTACTTTCAGTCGTAATATTAAATAATGAATACTACAAGTTTAATAATAAATTTAAAATTATAGATTATTTAATAAGATACGAACAATTATAGGTAAACCAAAAATTCAACCAGAGAAGCAATCCAACTTAAGAAATTATATGAATTAGAAACGCAAGTCATATGAGGCCGTAAAAAATAACGTGTTTTTATTGAATTGGTAACAAATGAAATATTATGTAAATCTGTTAGTGTATAAAATATAAATAGAACACAATATAATTTTTTTACATTTTTGATGATCATGATAATAATAACACATGAAAATATGACTTCTATAGTCCCATTACATATATAGATAACTTTTTTTGTAAGTACTTCAATTTGTATGATGTTTTGAACACTTTCACTCGTAATTGTCATCATTTGTCAAAGTATGATTTTTGTTTATGAGTAATATTCTTTTCTCACAATACACACAGAGGATTCAAACTATTTTTAGTACTTCATCATATATTACATTGTACATCATATTTTGTTCTCATTACATATTATTCTCCTAGGTAATAAAATATTCGTAAAGACGAATAAATGCAGTTGCCGTAAATATACAAATAAAAAACATAATGGAAATTTTTTGATGTAATAAAGTTTAAGCTAACAATTAAAAAGTAATTACTAAGACAAATAGGTTTTTGTATTAGTTATTATTACATTGATTATTTTTTAGTTATGCAACAATTAGTACAAAAAATTAGATATTTAAAAAAAAACCTTTATAGATAATATTATTATAAGTTATGCCATATTTATTTTTTATAGATCACATTAAATTTATAAAAAAACACCTTTCATAACAACGTCAATTTGCCTAAAAAACTAATCTATTTTTGTTATTGTATAATTCTGAAACAGAATGACAAATTTGGCTTAAAATGTACAAGCATTTAAACACATTTCCATTTTAAAACTATATCAAGTATAAATACACAGCTATAATTTTTACAAGTGTGGTTTATCTAACTCTAATACTTTACTATAATAAATTAATATATAACTGTACTATATATTAATTGACTTTTACTGAATATTTCGTTTAAGCGTTACATAAGTTTTTCTTTTGAACAGTAGAAAATCAAATAATATAAATATGGAAATTATACTTTGAATTATGCATAATTAAAATCAAAATATTAATAAAATACATAGGTATATAATGCCCTTTTTCGTATCAATAAAAAGATAAGGACTATACTAACAATCGACCTTTAGATTAAGTTCTTGCTATTACCTACCACCGAAACGATTTAACAACAAAAATAGATAATCTCTAGAAGAGTTTACATTTACTAATGATAATGATGTAATATATATTACACAGATTCAACGTAAACAATTATTTTAAAGGTGTAATTCATGCCAATCAAAAGAGTAGGTACCTCTCTTTACGTTTTAAAACATGACTTATTTTAACCAAAGAGATACTAACAGATTTCAGGTTTCTATCAAACATTCAAATATTTAATATTAATTTAAATATTTAATCTATCAACATTTGAACATCAAATACTTAAAAATAATAATTTTATGTATTTTCGATATTTATTATTGACGGTATGAGAATAACTTATGAGAGTCATTGTATGTATTTTTCAAACATTATAAGTAAATACTCAAATTAAAATATTTTCAACATAAAAACAGTTTGAAACTTTTCACGATTTTAACAACTTGTAAAGAATTGCTATTTAAACACTTGTAAAAAAAAAAATGGAACTAGATTTTTCTTTTTTAAATGTGACATTAAACTATTTTTTATTTTAATTCTAGTTAGTGCAATTTCTGATTAATTTTAAGTATACTATCTAAATTGTCAACTGTTTTTTTTTTTTTTTTTTAACTCAACAATAAACAATATACTTATCAACATAAATAGAAAAAGATGAAAATTTAAAATGTCTAAGCATTAAGTTTAAAAT